TATATATATATATAAACAGAAAACCATTAAAATGAACCTGAAGTTATGTCCCAGCTCATTAATTTAACACAGAGAGTAAAAAAATTAAAACGTGTCTTCTTTTACAGCTTTTTAAAAGGAGAAATGTTGCCACGGTGGAGGATGACGGTGCTCTTGAGGACGATGGAATGGCAGATAGTGGCTATCTGGAATCACAAGCTAACAACCTGGACCCACTCATGGTAGGAGGGCCTTCCACCTACACGCAGAGCCTTTATTGAATTGTTTACTTGTTGTGAAACATGTCTTGTCACTGCACCTTGCAGGGTGGGGTGATCTCTGAAGACATGATTCAGATGATCTTCTCCAGCTCTCCTGAGCAGCAGCTAATAGGCACTCAGCGCTTTAGGAAACTTCTCTCTAAAGGTATGACTTCTTCTTCTTCTTCTTCTTCTTCTTCTTCTTCTTCAAGATATCTGTGGTGATATTTTCAAAATAAAAGTGTTCCGTTGTGTTTGTTATGTTTGATAACCAAAACCACATTTATTGTTTGCTTCATGCTTTTTCACCACTTGTTTCTTGCACAGAACCCAACCCACCCATTGATGAAGTCATAGCCTCTACAGGGGTGGTGGAGCGTTTTGTTGAGTTTCTAAAGAGAAGAGAAAACTGCACGTTGCAGGTACATCTAACACACGTGTGAATAAGATGTTTCAGTTTTTCCCCTTCCTTGATAGTCGGTTAATAAGATGCTATAAAAGTAAACTCCCCCTGTCTTGCATTTTGAATACTGCACAAATTGTATCATGTTTTTATTCCGTCTTTTTAGTTTGAAGCAGCATGGGTGTTGACCAACATTGCTTCAGGTACATCCCACCAGACCCAGGTCGTGATCAAGGCAGGAGCTGTTCCCATTTTCATAGAGATGCTCAGCTCAGATTTTGAAGATGTGCAGGAACAGGTGAGTAAGACTTCCATCGCCTTGTCAGGTGCTTATAATTAACTCAATATGTCTGAGTTTAACAAAAAAAAAGGTAGTCTTGTAACTGGCCTAGTGTTGCCTTTGATGTGTTGCTTGATGTCTAACTTGAATAAATGCTGCACTCATCAGGCGGTGTGGGCCTTGGGAAACATAGCAGGCGATAGCACAGAGTGCAGAAACTTTGTCATCGAGTGCAACATCCTGCCCTCCCTGTTGCAGTGCGTGGCAACTTTGTTTTACCTTGTCATCTCATCAAATAAATAATAATAATAATAATACTTGGAAGTTTAAAAAAAGAAAACTTGACAATTTTTGTTTTGTAAAATTTCACTCGCAGGTTATTGGCCAGACAGAACCGTCTAACAATGATGAGGAACGCGGTGTGGGCGCTCTCAAACCTGTGCAGAGGAAAGAACCCACCTCCGGACTTTGCTAAGGTAATTTACAGAGATAAGCCGTTTCTATGGCAACCGTGCATCTCTCAAGTTGCTAAAGTGCGGCAGAGCTCTCATTTCAAGGTCACAAGCTGGATTCTGTAAATCTGAACAAAAGGTTCAGATTTACCAAAAAAAGAACAGAACAAGACCCCCCTTCCTGTACTTCTCCATCTCCCTTTGTTTCTCCTAGGTGTCCCCGTGTCTAAGTGTGCTGTCCTGGCTGCTGTTTGTCAACGACACAGACATCCTGGCTGATGCATGCTGGGCTCTATCCTACCTATCCGATGGCCCTAATGACAAAATCCAGGCTGTTATTGACTCAGGAGTGTGTCGGAGGCTTGTGGAATTGCTGATGTAAGACACCAAAATCACTGATCTAATAAAAAACTCATTAGACTCTGTTAGATAGTTTAATTCTCATTAGTTTGATTGCTGGAAGAAGGCAACAAAATTTGGCCGGGGCAGTAACAGAGTCTTGCACGAGTCATTTCCTCTACTTAAGCTATGAAATCAAAATAAAGGTTTATTGTGAAATAATTAGCTGGCTTTAGAAACGACCTCAGAGCGTCTAACAGGCTGCAGTTCTGCTTCCCTCCAGGCACGCTGATTATAAGGTGGTGTCTCCGGCACTCCGGGCCGTTGGAAACATCGTCACTGGAGATGATCTGCAGACACAAGTAACAGCACCTTCTATACAAACTCTGTGAATGTGTGCGCTGAAGCAGTTTGATTTGACCTTCTTTGTGTTTAATTTAGGTGATTTTGAACTGCTCAGTGCTGCAGTCCTTACTGCACCTTCTGAGCAGCTCCAAGGAGTCCATCAAAAAGGAAGCTTGTTGGACAATCTCCAACATCACAGCAGGGAATCGAGCACAAATACAGG